AAAATGGGTTGGGAAGGGAAAAAGAAATAGAGGAAGGCAGTTTAAGACAGAACCGTTTGCAAAGATAACAATGTTTAAACACTCTTGATTTCTCTGTGCTTTTGGTACAACTGTTATGGCACTTCTATTTGTCCCATTTCAATAATATGGCACAAGTACCTTTATATTCATTCTCATTTAATTAATGTCATGAAGAAAAAAAGTATTATTCCTCTGTAAACACACACACACACACACCCACACACACCATCACATACAAATTCCAATTAGGGGTCCAATTAGAGATTTCCTATACTTCCTGTTTGCTTACCAAAGCAAAAGTATAACAAGTAAAAGTATACTTGAAGTATAACGGACATTGAAAAGGGATGATGATGGGATGGGAGAGAATAAGATCTATTCTCTTCAAGGATACCCTGCTTCTCAAATTTAATCTTATTTACACAGTGCAAAGTGCTCATTAGCTAAGTCTATCCACCCACAAGTGTTTTTTGATCTTGAATGTGAAAACTATCTATTTTTTTAATGTAGCAAAAATACTGGGAATACAAGTACAATATTTCCTCTAAATAACTAAAACTGAGCAGACAACCATGATTTTACTATAAGCAAACTATGAAGACCAAGTTTACACATACATAGTTCAATGTCATAATCAAATTACAAAAAAATCAATCTGACACATTTAATAATATGCATTATTGTTCTTGTGTATCATGGTGCAGAGATACATAAATGGTACATGGTATATAAATGGTGGGAGAAATATGGAGATTCAAAAGACAAACTTCACAGTTGTCCCAATCCAAAAACCTAGTTTTTTGGATTCTGGTACAGTTCCCAATGAAGCAAACTCTTACAGGTATCCTACTGTGAGCTCCTTTCCTCTCTCTTTTTTTTTTTTTTTCTAGGGACAGCTATATGGTGAGACTTATCCCTTACCCAAAATATCTCCTTTATACTCTATGGAATTCCAACAATTAGATTTGAAACTCCTGGAAGGAGTAGGGAGGTAGAGAGGGTAAAGTTGGGGAACAGGAGCTCTTCGATACTCATATCAACAAGCTGGTGCCCTGATAAATACACAGACACGGGACCAGAATTAGGTGTTGGTAGAGATGTTTATGTCCTGCACGGTCAGTCACATTGTTTAGTGGGAATTACACTCACAAAAGAGTTTAGGGAGTATTTCATTCCCCTCCCCATAAATGCTGCTTTTGAACTAAAGAAAATAAATGAAAACTCCTCACTTTGCCCCACACCTCTCCATTCTTTGTTCTAAGTAGCCGAGTAAACCAATTTTTTTTTTCAAAATGCCCACAGTTCAGGCACCTCTGTAGACAACTAGGTCCTTTTTAATTGGCAATGCAGAATAGGATCATAAGATCTCCCTACTCATTTTTTTCTGGGCCTTATAATTGCCCTAAATAACCATCTCTTTCTAACATACAAGACAGGGTTGTCAAGTGTTGATCTAATCAGAGGGATAATTTCATTATCAGGCAGGATTCCTCGTGAAACTCTGGTGTTAACAGAAAGCCTTTTCATTGGAAAACAGAAATGTCATATAAATGCCTCCCCCTTAAGAATGAAAGCAATAATGTACTACTTAGATATTAAAGCAGGGATTATTGGCCAATTATTCTTAAGAATTACCAGATTCTAGGATTCAAAGGTATTGTCTGGACTAACAACTTAAAAAAAAACAACAACTTGTCCTTAAATACCACACATTATTAAAGTTGTAGTATTTAACAATGTGGTTATCCTATTGAAAATACAAAAACAAAACAAAACAAAACAAACAAACAAAAAAAAGGGGGGGGGGCAGCTAGGTGGCGAAGTGGATAGAGCTCCAGCCTTGGAGTCAGGAGGACCTGAGTTCAAATTCGACCTCAGACATTTGACACTTACCAGCTGTGTGACCCTGGGCAAGTCACTTAACCCCAATTGCCTCACCCCTCCTCCCAAAAAACACAATGATGAAGTATTTTGTTAAACCTGTTTTTCAAACAGAAAAGCCATTCCTTTTTTTGAGTATACTTTGGAAAATAAATTTACACTTTAACTTACTATGGAATATAGTTGCATGGGCTGCTTTCCTTAAAATCAACAACAAATTCTGTTGGGTGTTTCTTCTACACTGACTCTCACATCAGCTAACGGTGTTGTACCAAATAATAAGCCAACTTTATAATGCAAGTTTGGGGGGACAGAAGGAACAGGAGTAACAACACCTGTCCTGATTGTTGAGGGAGTGTGATTTGGTATTCCTAGGATCAGTCTTCATCTAGAAATGAATGTCATTACAATGGATAGATGAGGTTTTTCAAAAGGGCTCTGATAGCTTACCCTTTTCCACAGAGCTCCAGTGGGAGTAAATGAGGAAATAAACATTGGTCAGTAGCATCACTTCCAAATTTAGTGCACACAGAACTAACATCCATACATGGTACATAAAGAAGACTTGGGGATTCTTCATGAATGATCAGAATGAACAAAAAAACCTTAATGAATGGAATGTGAGCAATCATGTTTCTTACCCCAAAGAGTATGGCCTTTAAGAGGACAGGTTTGTTAAATTAGGCATTTTCCCCACCATAGCCCTTTGGTACTCATTATAAGTTGCTTTAGTAAGAATGGTATTAAGTACCATTTAAATTGAACTGACAAGCTTCAAGCTGCAGAAAAAAAAAAACCTATTAATTGGCCAGGGTAATAGAAAAAAGGCTTACGGATTGCTTAGTTGTTTCAGTTTTGATATTTAAAAAAAAAAAAGGAGGTAGCTGAAATCTTGACCAAGTCCTCAAAAGCTCTTGAAGCTGATTAAATTCAAGTATTTTCTTTTATATAAAGTTTAACGATTCTGAAAATTATTACTGAAAGAAAAACAAACCTGAATAAAGCAAGAAGATGAATCTCAAATTACCCAGTCAGAAATGATGCCATGACCTTGACCCATATTAAGGGCCTAATTAATCCTTGTTGACTGACTGATAGCATCTCTTAGGCAGAAGGCAATGACTTTTGGATACTGAATGTTTCTAAATACAGCTGTTAGCAGGAATGAGATTGAAGAGGGACAAACATCCACATGGTACTTTTGAATGACAGGAACCCAAGCATCCACTTACTAACTTTGGATCAGAGAATCTGCCTACTGCTTTTTCCTTATTCTTAATAGCCACACAGAGCTTGTGATTGAATAAACGACCTAAGGCATATATACAAATAACTATAATACAAGGTAGAGTGTGAGTGTGCAGTAAAAGGTAAGTACCAGGCTCTGTGGAAGTAGGGTGGAGATGGTATTTAATCTGGCAGTGAAAGAAGTGGTAAGAATCATACAGGCAAGAATTATGAGAACTATTAGGGTATTCTAGTCACGGGAAAAGGCATAAGAAAAGGAATGGAGGTAGGGGAAGACTCAGAGACTGATCAGGAATTGAAATGAAGTACTATTTGGCAAGAGTTGAGTGAGTGAAAGGAAGTAGTGTGAGATAAGGCTAGAAAGGTAAATTTAGACCAAATGGTGGAGGGTCTTGAATGCCAATCAAAGGAATTTTTACTTTATTTGGTAGGCAATGGAGAAACCATTAAAAGTTTCAGTAGAGATGGGAGGATATCACATTATTATAAGTATTCTTTAGTAAAAATTAATCTGGCAACGGTGAGTAGAATGGACTGGGTTTGAAGGGATGGCAGTAGGCCCAGTCAAGACTAGGACAAGGAGCGAAGGATGTGATGGGAAATATAGACTGTGTGAAAACAAAAGATAATAATAAAAATTTATTTTTAGAAAAAGACTATCACAATAGCTCAAGTGATATGTCCCACAATGGAAATGTGAAACAACTCTGGAGTTGAGGAGTGAAGTTGGGGCTAGAGACATTGATTTAAGAGGCATTTTCATGGTGGGTGGATGGGCATAGGTGAAACCATAAAAATGGAAGGACTCATGATAAAAGAGCAGAGACAGAAGAGATGGAGGTACGCCAACATTTAAGGAGCAGGAGGAAGAAGAGCCAGTGAAGGAGATAATAGAATAAACAATATCTTTGCATATGGAAGGTCAGAGAGGAAGGAAGGGAAACAGGAGAGTCCAGTGGTACTGAAGCCAAGAAAGAAGACAAGCAGTTAAGATGGAGGTAGATTGAGATCAGGCAATAGGGACAAATGCAAAAGGGGTCAGGGAGGAAGATGGTGAAAAGGCCACCAGATTTGGTAGTTAGGATGTCACTAATGTCTTTTTTGAGAGCACTGTTTTATTAAAAGCTGTGTGAGGCAGTAGAAGAAACAAGTATAGACTAATCTTTCAAGAAGTTTTAGTCAATTTCAAAGGATTCATGACAAAATATGGTATTCACCTCCAGAGAGAGAACGAATGAACTCGGAGGGCAGATTGAAGCAGTCTTTTTTTCTTTGCTTTCTTTATCTTTGCTTTTTTTTTTTTTTTTTTGCAACATGACTAATAAGGAAGTGTTTTGCATGACTTCACACATATAATTAATGTCACATTGCTCGCCTTCTCAATGGGTGGGGGAGGGAGAGAATTTGGAACTTATCTAAAAAATGAACCTTTAAAATAAATAAATAAATGAATTTTAAAAAGAAGTTTGTCAGTAAGAAGGCAAGAGCTAGAGTAGTAGCTGAAAGATTTTATCAGAGTCTAGAGAAAGAATACTTCAGGACAGGAAAGACTTGAAGATGTTTGTAGGTAAAGGAAAATAGGTTAATGTATGGCAGAGATACGAGAGAGAGAGAAGAGAACTGACTGAGCAAATAGCTGGGGAAAGTGAGAGGGGAATGGATGGAGGAAACTAGGGAGAAAGAATAGGTTGAGAAAGAATCTTGCAGGAAGGGAAGGAATTGGAGGACATCCACTTTGGGTGGCTTATATCTTAGTACAGTTTTCCAGAGATCACTTGAGTAAATAGACATTTTTTTTCTGGCCAATCATCAGAATTTCAGCATTTTCAAGGTGGCAAAAAGATACTTACCAATTCCAGACATTGCCTGTGGCCATAGGCTGCAGCATAATGTACAGTGTTGTAACCTTCTTTATCCCGAATTGATGGGTTTGCATCATTTTGAAGTAGAAATTCCAGGCACCTGTAAATAGACAGTGAGGCATCCTTTAGTTTGTTTTTATTTGTAAAGACATTATCAAAGAATACCCATATATAATCTCCAGTCACCAAAGCCATAAGGAATGACATATCTACCTCCATTCCCCCATAAAATATTCTTGATATTTCAAGTGTGTTTCTAAGTACCTCTAAAATTAAAATCCTTATTATTGACTTTTTATGCTTCAGAGTGATGAAGAACCTTTCATGCATCATTTTTTAGGCCTTTCAGAAGCTTATTACTTCAGCCTGCTCCTGTCATCCTAAATTTTAGAGTGTATTTTGGTAACAAGGAGTTGCCATGAGGGGAAATTATAGTTCTTTCCATCTCAGTGTAAATAACTTCTCTCTCCTCAAAGCTATGGGATCGTAATTTGGAGAAACTTGTGCCCAAAATATAAGAAATAAAAGAAGTGGTCCAGCTATTTCAATAGCCAACTCCCCCTTCAAATGGTTTTGATTTTGTTTTAAATCTTACTTTCCAAGGAACTATAAATGACAGTTGAAAGGTTGCTAAATAGACATTGTGAAGACAGATAAAAGGAAGACAGGTATTTTAGCCCAGGCAATATACCGAAAGCTTAAGAAAGAGAATGAACATTCCTCAAGAACAATGAAGAGTTATTACACTACACACAAAATATGAAGAAATGGGTTTAAATGGCACCATTAGGGATTAGGTTCAATTTTTTAAAATCCTCTAGACAGAGCTGTAAGCATGGGAACAGGTTATGAAAAAAGGAGGTTGAACTGACTTCCCTAAAAAGCATGAACTAGGATGACTGCCCATCTGTTTGAAATGATATAATCTTGCCTGAATACAGAGTGACTAGATGACCATTATAGAATGTGTTTGGTTCTGTAATTACATTATTGGTGTTAAAGAAATAATATTGGATTTCTTTTTGCTTTCATGAAGCCACATCATTCTTTTTTTTTACTCAAGAATTATTTTTTTAAATACATGTTATTATTTCTTCCTATAGAGTATTCATATGATCAGGCCACAGAAAATGACCATAGCTTCTTTGAAAACTCATATCATTATTTGAATAAATTTTGGCACAAGGTAAAATTAATAAATCATAAAAAATACAAATGAAACTTGTACTAATTTATAGTCAAATGACAGAAAATTAGTGATATAATCATTTCTGAAAATCAAATACATGTCATGTATCTTGCAAATAGCTAGGTCCCAATTTATTAGTAATAAATTCCCTAAAGTGAGAATTCTCACTGTATATTTCCATTGAGCTGGAACCAATGACTATATTTTACATAATTATAACTTTGAACAATTCGAATTTGAATATATACTATCACTTCAAGGGATTCATTATTCACACTAATTGGAACTTGGATGTAATAGGTCTGTTAAATTAAAATATGTATTGGAACCTTATTATGATGCTATCTTTGGGAACATAAGATGCTTTTGGAGCTAAGCTGTCATAGACAGGGTCCAAAATGGGTCCACTTTATGAACCAACATGTAGCCAATAGTTTGATAAGGTTCCAGTGTATAGACCAGGGTTAACCTGGGGACCAGTGGTCTGTGAATGGATTTTAGTGGGGTTTCTGAACTTGGATGGGAAAAAAACTACATCTTTATTTTCACTAATTGAAATTTAGTGTTTTCTTCCATTTCGAATTAAAAAAAATACAATAATATTCTACTGAGGAGTCCATAGGTTTCACTTGACTGCCAAAGGGATCTGTGCCCAAAACATCTAAGAACCCTTGGTATAGGCAGTCCTCAATTTACCAATGAATTATGTTTCAAAATGCTTTCAAGTCTTCTAGGGCTTGTGATGCAATTTCCCATTGAAACAATGTGAGAAAGGGTAGTTATGTTGTGGAGACATCTCAGAAAGGACTGTTTAAATATAATATAGCTGACCTCTAATACTATTATAAAACCTACTGACAAACTATAGCAGTGCTCCATCTCCACTCTCCTGACTCTAAAGGAATCTGAGGGCCCAGGGGAGGAGAAGGAGAGTAGAATATGATAGAGAAAAGGCTCTACTGAAAGAATGGGCTAAGTGAGGAGGAAAGAGAAAGACATGCCTTTACAGCTTTTAAGGTGAGGGATATTCATTGTGAAAGGGAAGTCTATGACAACTTATTTCTTTGAATGTGATGGGAGTAAGACAAAAGCCGAGATACAAGAGAGGGTGAAAGGGCTCTCTAATGACAGGGATCCTGGTGGTGATTCCTGGAGACAGTAATAGAATTTCCAATTCTAACTCTGAGAGAGGATGGCCGCAATGGCAGCTCCAAGGGAAATGTGGAAAGACATTTGATGAGAGACCCACGAAGATGGGGAGACAGCAGTAGCTATGAACAACTTCATAAAAATATGGGCGATGAGTTGAGTATTTGCAAGTAGTGAACTGCTTGTACTTCCAGTGTCCAAATCAGACAAAAAGCTCAAAGCTCCGAAAAGAACCTCACATAACCTCACTGAAACAACTGCCAATTAGGGTCATTTACAGCATGAATATGGAAAGCTGAGGGTACAGAGAGGTTTTGATATTTCCCCTGAGACATTAGTGTTGGAGTCAGGAATTACACACAGGATGCCTCAGGCAGGTAGATGGGTTAGTGGATAGAAAGCAGAATCTGTAACCAACCAGTTATTCAATAAACATTCATTAAGTACCTCCTGTGTGCCAGGCACTGTAGGGATACAAAAAGAGGCAAAAGACAGTCCCTGTCCTCAAGAAGCTCACAATCTAATGGAGGAGTTCACAGAAAGATGCAAGTTCAAATCCCACCTTGGACACTCACTAGCTGTGTGACCCTGGGCAAGTTGCTTAACCTCTGCCTGCTTCAGTTTACTCATCTGTAAAATGGGTTAATGATAGCATCTTTTCTCCCAGGGTTGTTGTGAGGATCAAATGAGATAATATTTATAAAGCGGTTTATATAAATGCTAGCTGTTGTTGTTTTGAAGGTTCCTGATTGAGTACAAGTCACCCCTACTCTTCCCTTGGAAAATCATTGATGCATTACATACATGCAGAGGTTCAAGTCTGAAAACAGAATTATTTAAAGATTCATTAAGAGAATAAGTTGTTTTATGCAAAAGTGAAGGCCCCAAATTACCTCCCTAGGTCTATAGTTCAGGCAGTATAAACTAGGATAGGTCAGTCTCAGAGCTCAGACTTCTTATACATCACCCACCCCGACAGCAGGAAGATCAGAGTCAGATTCAGGCAGCAACATTGAGAACACACTTACGAGGCAGCTTCCTTTTCTTTTAGCTCACTGGCTCTTTCAAGCTCTTCTGCATTTTCATGAGTATTCCCCAAAATGTTCTTTCTTCTTAACATAAGAGATAGAAAAATACAACTCATTTTCAAAGTGGCAAAGCAGTTAGTGGTTTGGGGCATGGTTTGCCCTTCTCTCCCCCTCTCCACCCGGATCCCAGGGAAGCAAGCAAAGAAAGCATCATTGATCTTTCCTGATCCATGGAAAGGCCTTCTCAGTTGAGGGCTCCAGCAAGTCCCCCCTCTGAAAGATTTGAGCTGGGAACAGTACAACCTTAAAAGCATTCAAAAGTCTGTGATTTAGCATGACAGCCACTGGCCATGCCCTCCCCAACACAGTCTAAGCTCTTGGGCAACAGGGCTGCCATCTTTGACTTCCTCTGACTCTCATGATGGCTCTTTTCTGCCCCTTCCTGACCCCTTACCTGTTCAGGGTCTCATTCATCAGGAGATAGGGCCCAAACCAATATTCTTCAGCTAGAACCTGAAAGGCTACTAACAATCTATCATTATCCAGGGTTTCTGTGCTGCCTTATAATTGTTATGACACTGTATCCTTGCAGTTTTTCATACAAGATGTTCCATGTCCTGACTCTGGGCATTTTTATTGGCTGTCATCCATGCCTGGAATTCATCCCTTCCTTACCTCCATATCCTGGTTTCCTTAAAATCTCAGCTAAAATCCCACTTTCTGCAAAAAGTCTTTCCTGGTCCCCCCTACTTCCTTCCCTCCTCCATACCCATCCCTCTGTAATAATGTCTTCCCACTGATATTACCTCTCATTTACATTTATCTTATATGGGCACAGTTTTTAAAAAATTTATTTTATTTTATAATTTATGGAATAGAACAAGCACTTCCACAACACAGTATAATTTTTAAAAAGTGCACATGAAACTGAAAATCTATTATATACAACTTGTAAGCTGTCTGCCATGCTAGAATGTGAGCCTCTTGAAGGTGGGAACTATTTCTGCCTTTCTTGAGTCTATAGACCCTGGTACACATGACTGTTGTTTCCCAAAGGGATGACAAAGGCCAACATCTGAATGACTTTGTGATTCTGGATGGCAGCAGACAGTGCCATGACCCAACATGGTAACTTTATTAGGACATAATCCCCAGGAGGGGTTGGTGGTGATAACAACAACCCAGAGCCTAACCCCATCACATAGGGATAAAGGAAAGACCAGAATGCTACAGGATAAATAGTTCTCCAAATAGGGGAACTGAATAGTATTTCTCAAAAAAAACCACTGGATCTGAGGACCTTTAAAATTATAGCCCTGGCTGTTCATCCCCTTCACCCACCATTTGTTTACTGCATTGAGTTACCTTAGGCCTAATTTCCATTTCTAGCCCTGACAACACATCTACCTCAAGCAATCAATTTTTCTCTCTAGCCTTGCATCTAGCTCCTGAAATGGCATTCATACCCAAGGTTAACATCAATAATACCTTGTTCCTTCCATACAGATAGCACTGTTTGAAGGCTGCTAAGACTGCAGATAGATGAGTATTTCTGATGGGTGGCAAATATATGAACAAATATAAATTTATTGGCAAATGAGGCATTTAGAAGGGGGTAACGATGAAACCTGAAGTGTATGCCAAATAGATTACATCAGATTTTAATGAATGGAAACCCTAAGCTTGGCAGTCCCACTTGGCATTTCAAAGTAAGGAATGGAGAAGAGAGGGAAGAAACTGTGTGGTGATATACGATAGTCAAATGGGAAGACAGAGGAATGTAGGGGCATCAAGGGGAAACCAGTGTCAAAGGCAAAGTAATTCAAACTACTCTGTCTGAATGGGAGAAGAGATTCCTTCCTTCATTAGCAGGGTTCCTTTAAGAAGGCAAGAGAGGGAAAAGAACCTTGACAAACCCTTCCCCCATTCCCAAGAGGGAACACATATAAGTTTTTTTTTTTACTTTCTGTCCATGTCTGAAGCTGCAGCATAGTGTAAAGGTGTTCGTCCCCAGTCATCTGTCTCGTTAATGTTGGCCCCGGTGTTCACTAATGTCTCAATACAGTGGAAATGACAATTCGCAGCTGCATAGTGTAAAGGCGTCCTGCAAAATAAACAATTTGTTACTTCAGCCTCTAGTCTTGAAAAAGGCACGAAGGCTTGCTCACACCACCAGCAGCATTCCCAGAGAGGGGCGTCTACTGATTGACAAATGTCATGCTTTCATAGGAGGCAGCTAGATGGCTCAGTGGATAGAGCACTGGGCCTGGATTCAGAAAGATCTGAATTCAAATTCAGCCTCACATATTCACTAACTTTGTGACCCTGGGCAAGTCACTTATCCCGTTTGCCTTAGTCCAACAGAGAAGGAAATGGCAAAGCACTCCAGTATCTTTGCCAAGAAAACCTTATATGGGGTCCCAAAGAGTCAGACATGACTAAAATGAGTTAACACAACAACGATGCTTTCATAGAATCCTATGGAAGGTGGGAAGGAGGTTATCCTATCTTTCTGCTCAGTGAGCAAGTGAGCCATTTCAGAACGGAATGGAGGAAAAAGCACTGTGCTTCACAGTCAGGGGACCTGGGCTTTCAATTCCAGCTCTGTGGAAGGCAATCACCTTAACATCTTTGAATTACTTTAAGGCAGTGTGGTATGATAATGGACAGAGCAGGCTTGGAATCAGATATCTAAATTCATATCCTACCTCTGACGCACACTATCTGGGTAACCATGGGCAAGTCATCTAACCTCCCCTTATTTTATGGGGAAAAGGAGAACAATCATATCTATAACATACCTACCTCACAGGTAGGTAGGTATATGCAAATTTATTCTGAGACACAACCAAGCTAAGGTGTGTAAAGTTCTTCGAAAATCTTAAAGTGTTATATGAACATCCATGTTTATTGTCACCTCTAAAATGAAAGGCTGAGAGCAGAGAGTCATCCTTGGAGTCAGGAAGACCTGGGTTCAAGTACTGCCTTTGAAATATACCAGCTGTACAGCCAAGTCTCTGAGTTGCCACGGGGCAATTCTGTGAGACCATAATCTAAAGACCAATCTTGATCTGCAGTGGTGAAAGGAATTTCCATTATAGGGATTCCTCACGCTGATGCAAATCATCAGTCTGGACCAGATAAATGAGTGTTTGATTAGATGATCTCAAAGGTCCCTTTTAGCTCTTGAGTCTATAATGCTAAGACAAGGACAGAAAATGGCTAAGTAAATCTATGCCCTCTCCCTCTATACCGACTGTCACTACCCCAATTCAGGCCCTTATTACTTTGTGCATGGACCATCACAACTGCCTCTTAACTAGTATTTCCTTCCCTTACTCTCTGCCCCTTGGTTAAAGTGGTAGGCAGGATGGATTGATCTTCCTAAGGTACAATCTAATGTTTTACACACATGTGCACGTGCACAAACACATCTTCTTTCAGCTCAGAAACTTTCAATTCCTCTCCAGGACCTGCTGAATAAAAGACAAAGCCCTTAGTCTACTAGTCAAGTTCTTCAACAGTCTGGTTCTAATGCATCCTTCGGGTCTCACCTTCCCCATCTCTCTCATATGTATTTTATGTTTCGGCCAAGGCAGACCATTCTCATCTCCTGAACACACTCAGGACTCTGTAACTTTGGTGCTGTTGTTTCCTCCACCTAGACTTCCCCTTCCAACGTACCTCCTCCTATTAGAAACCCTACCTATTCTTTAAGGCCTAGCTCAAATGTTACTTCTTCCCTGATTATTCTAGCCAGCACATTGTATGCACTTAACATACCCAGTCTTTTGTTTGGACTTAACATAAACAGTCCTTTGTATTTCTGTTACTTGTGTACATATGTTAATTTTCTGAATAGATTAGAAATTCCTGGAGTCTGGGACTAGAACCTTTGTACCTCCACTGCATCTAACACATAACCCATTATAATTACTGATTTTAATATTTCTCTATGATAGAACAATGTACTAATTACCTTTTAACACTTTGGTGGGCTATTTTATTGGCCATCATTCTCTAAGCATTGGCTCAAAGACTACAGCTATGGCAAAGGGGGTACTTTCCCCTGAGTATTCCCACTGAATACGTTGGATTTTGTGTTATAACTGAGGACTGAAAAGAGCATTTTAACCAGCTTCAAAAGGCACTTGTCTCCAGCATATTTTCAGGCAAAGGAACAACAAAGAATTTTAAAAGGCAGTTATAGAAAACTTGATATATTTTATGCAGCCCATAAAATATTTCTAATGATAGGACATTTCACAGCAATATCATTAGAAGAACCTTACAGCTGGAGTTTCTAAGCCTGTTTGTTTGTAATTTTTTTCATAAGACTATGAAATTTGAACCAGCACTTCCCATGTTTATATCAGAGCAATGCTGTCGCTCATAAGTTTGCCAGGGAAGAGAATAACCTAACTTCCAGAATAACATAACACAGATCTGATAACATGATTTAAAAAAAAAAAAAAACACATACACACAACCCGAAATCTTAAACATCAAGATACCAATTCCTTTATCTCCCTCCTCTGGAAAAGGGGAATGTAACTTTGACAGAATTAAAAGTCAATCTCTATTGGAAAAAACACACATCGAATTGTTCAAGGCCAGTGAAAAATTTTGAAGTTTCTAAAACCCACAAAAGATTTTCCATAAATTCAGATAGGAGACAATCCTACTTGAGAGATAAGGAAGTAGAAGGCAGAAGAGTGGAGTAAAGACTAAACTGGGCTGGAAGGTAGCAGACCTTCATTTAATTCCTGGTTTTCCTACAGGCTTCAACAAGACTTAATTTCTTCCTTTGCAAAATGGGGCAGATGAAATTTATCATTTCTAGGTTCCCCTTTACACTATGATCAGGGAAACTTAATATCAAGGAGTATAAGAGCTAAGTAGTATACACCAGACAGAAATGTGGGCATAGCCCCAGTAGAAAGGTTAAAAATATGTTTACATGGGAGGAAGATGGGAAGGACATAAGAGAAATAACTTATTTTTATACAGGACTCAAAAATGTACATTTGACTTTTAATGTTAATTGCACCAGCCTCTGAAATTTCACTTGAAGGAGGAATTTTCTTTTAGGGATGGCAGTCTTCCCAAGTTGTTCCACTGTTTCTCATTTGAAATTCAGTGATATGATTTCCAGATGGAAACTCCAATTCATCCTACCATCTCCTCCCCAGGCTCCTCCTTATTTACACACCCCTGATGTAGCGATCCCTGATTACCTACCTCCCACATTTATCCTTCTTACTGAAATCTGCTCCACTGCTCTGCAAGAGTTTTATACATTCCACATTACTGGAAAGATAGGAAACAAATCATTAAGAAGATGAAGGTGAAGTGTGCTCCCTTCTACATTTATAGGGCTCGAGGTAAGTGCTCCACTGTAACTGTTGGCTTAAGTTCTGCTAATAAAAGTGAACAGGTTATAATAACTTCATCTCAGACACAGCTACAATTTCTACAATCTTCTTGAAAAAAGGTTCTTTAAATCAATAAAGTCAATAGCCTGATTATGCAGTTTCAATTGCATGAATATTATTTTAATTTGTCCTTAGTGATTATTATGTAGCCAAATCTTTTAATCATGCTTCATTATTTATCCAAAGACATTTTTAAAAAAGCATATCATTTATAAAATGATCATTTAATATCAAAAATGAGATTTAGGCACTTAAACCTACAATAATTTCACGTCACCTTTAAACAATAAGCCAAAGTGGATGAGTATTACTTTTTATCACAACTGAATGAGTTTGCCACGATAACCATTTTCAGCCCAGACAGCCCTTAATGGAAAATAAAACAGCTGCATTTCCCTTTCTGTGTAATCTAGGCGAATAAATGCGCAAGAACCATGGCTGAAAATGATGTAAGGAAGCAAAGTCATCTTCCAAAGCTCCTTTGTCATTCACAGGAGCAATAAATCACGTTTAGTAGGCAAATAGAAAGAAGCTCATTGGAGTGTATTTTCCTACAGAAGCCTAAGCAACTAATACAAATGCTAATGGGAGTTTCAGTCACAAACCCAGAACTGAATATAAACACTTTGTATACAGGTCTGTTTTAAAAAAGCAGGTCTATAGGAAGACAAATTATTCATCACTGTTCCATATTAGTTATCATAGACTAACCTGAGTCATTATTTTCAAGCCACTAGGTGGCATAGTAGATAAGTGTGCTGAGCTTGGAGTCAAGAGGACTTGAGTTCAAATCCCGTGTTCATTATCAGCTTAGTGACCCTGGATAAGTCACTTAACCTATCTCAGCCTCATCTTCCTCATGTAAAATGTGGATAATAATAGCACCTACCTCAAAGGGTTGTGTGATGATCAGATGAGATGACATAAAATGTATTGCAAATCGAAAAGCATTATATAAATGCCAATTATTTAAACTCAGATTTTTTTTAAAGTTTGATTTTTCCTTGATGGTAACCAGATAAATTCAACTCAACTTAGGATGAGCCTCATTTTCTGTTTGCAGCTTCCTTTCTTAGAGCACAACTTGTTTTAGCTTGCACAAACATTAAATACAAGCACTCTGCAAGGCATTCATGGTGTTGGGTTGGTACAACATGAGCAGCTACTGAGCATAATTCTCATTAACAACGGAAAGCAAATGGATAAAAAGATGATAAAAAAAGTATAAGGATGTATTTTTGGGCAACATCAGTTACACACTGGCCACAAAATGATTAAAAGAACATCTTATTCAATAGAGGCCATTAAAGAAAGAACTTTTTAGTAAATGTGTTCTCATATAACATTAGTTATTGACCGAAATTGTATTCAAAACCCCTGGGATGGAAAAGAAAGGTATCGTATAAATAACACTCTCAATAGTTCCACCAAAAGAACAATGGACACATGATCTTGTGCACTTGACTTATGTCATTGTTTACATTCATTTCATATTAGTGCATCAAAAAAAAAGCCTTAAAATGGTATGCTGAAGTGGGGGGAAATGAATGGCTAGAAATGAAAGGGAAGTTATTCAGTCTTATTTTTCTGTCACTATTACCTATTTATTAGAAAGGTAAGAGGAAGACCAAAAAATAGTGGATGCTCTATTTTTTTTCGTGTGGTTACCAGCCTCTTTCCTCAAGGCTAACGACAAATTCTTTTTTTTAAAAAAAAAAAAAGTTGATTTTTACATATGAATTGAGTCTCTGTTCAAACTCCATGAATTTTTTTCTTTGGAGAAAAAAAAAAGAAAAGTGATCTGAGGCAAAAGGCATGTGGCATTCTTTAAAATCACTGGCACTTGCTTTAACCAGAAAAAGTCCCTTGGTTGACAAACAATTAGCCAATTAAGACACAGTAGCAATTAATCCATGAACCATCAACTCAAAATGATCAACTACTCACCCTCCTGCGGCAGCAGCATGAAGGCAGGTTCTTCCAAATTTATCTGGTGTGTCTATTTCAAAGCCTGCAGACAGCACGTGCTCATTACTAAACAAGGACACTATGCTATACTTTTGTCCTAGTTAAACCACAAGAAACATTGCAGAGACAGAAAAATCAGTTAGTAGAAAAACCAGAGTGCAAGCAATTGTAGTCAGCAAGAGGTTGTCATGGAAACGAAGAGTAACTGCTCAAGCTTGGCGATTCTATAAGAAGAAGAACCGTGAAGTCAAGAAGAATTTATTTTCACATTCAGCCCTGGATGCACCACAGCACCATTTTTCAATCACAGGGTAGAAATTTATGAAACTGATTGGCGATAACTAGGACAGCAGATTGGAAGACAGAGACATGAAGAAAACATGAATCCAAAGTGGGAAGCTTAACATGCTAAAGGGAGATGTTTTCTTAAGTGAATTCCCACCTTTCTGGTTGATTGGAGGTGTAAAAAGCATGCCTTCATGCAGGGGCTATTTTTATACATGCCCAAAGCTGGGAAAGCAAGATGAGCTATATGTAATGGAGTAGATGAAAAATGAGTTTCAGAATTGTCTGAATTAGTTCACAGACAATGTGTGCCTGGTAATCAGGTCAGTCCCTTTTTGCCTTTGGAAGCCCAGGGAAAACTCTGTACACATAGGTTTGGAAATAGGAAATGAATTCTAGTTCCATGAAGAAAAAAATATAGAATCCCTAGTGGCAACATAATAACCAAGAAGCTTGCCACAAGTTATGTAACATAAGACAATATTCTAAGACTACATCTCCTAACCTGTAAAGAAATTTTTCAATTTGAAATAGTCCCACGAGAAAGAGACTCCAATAAGCTGGCAAAGATTCACTACAAAGATTTGCAGACTTTCACATACAAATAAGATATTTTGGTCCTTTTTTAAATAAAATATTAAAATAACCTAAAATTTTGTTTACTTCTTATGATTTAATCAAGTTCCTATATCCCCCAAACCTAAATGATGCTAAACCACAATTCTCAGTGATGGGTGTAGGGGTAGAGACATTCAAAGGAACTTCAGCACCAAGGGCTGCTGGGAATGAATCAACATGCAGTTAGGAAAGCTATACACAGCCCAGTGACCAAGCCAAGCCTAATGATGTGAAACACAGGCAGGTACTGCTTTTGACCATCCACTAAAGCCAAATGACTCAAACTATTAATTAAACTTCATCCTGGCTAGTGGATGTACCTACCTGAAGATAACAACTTCCTGCAGCAGTCAGAGTGAGCATTCAGTGCCGCTAAATGTAAGGGGAACATGCTGTGGATGCCGCATCTGAAAAACAGGACCATATAATAACAATATCAATAATAATAATAATAATAATAATAATAGCCTATATTGTGTTTTAAAATACTTTTTTCCTCAGAACAACTCTGGGAGGTAGGTACTTTATTACTCCATTACTATCCCCATTTTATAGATGAGGAAACTGAGAAAACATAAGTCTTGACTTGCCCAGTGTCATATAAGCAGTAAATGTCAGAGGCTAGATTTGAACTTAGATCTTCCTAACTTCAGGTCAAGCACTCTACCCATTGTGCCACCTACCAATATATTTCTCTAAATAATTCTCTAAATATTCCTAGATAAACATTTGACTTTTCAAAGTCCTTTCTGATGAAAACTAAAAACATTCACTTGAAGCTAAGGGAATCATAGCTCCATCAGTAGCTATGTTTTCTGTGTTCATTCTCTATAGTTTTCATTAAGCTAGCCATTTCCAATGTCTAACACTGAAAACTATGTTGGTTTGTTCTTGGGGTGGAAAATAACATGCATAATCAAGCATTCAACATATATTTATAAAGAAACTTTTCAGCATCCATCATTGTATTAGGAACTGGAAAATATGAGAAAACATTTACTTATTCATTAGACCAGGTTCTACAAAGCAAACTTTTAGAAAAGAAAATGAGTACTTGTATTGTGCAGGGGAAATCTTCATGTCTTTAATATTTTTTCATGTTGTATATTTCTTAAAAAACTTATAATGTCCAAACAGGTAGGTATGAAAATTAATAGAGATGAATCTTTGGAACCGAATATATTTCAGTAGCCCAAATAGTTCCGAAAAAAAGAACTACAAAAATAATGAAAAACATTGGAATCTTACCATAATGCTATCCTGGAGAGCCATACAATAGGATCATGTTATGGAAAGACAGCTATATTTATAACGAGGTGCTTGGGAAACTTCTATAATTAAGCCCATTTGAATGTGTCACCCAGGAAGAACATATCTTATGACCAATTCTACTTGATGGCAATTAGTATCAAAATTAGATGTCACAACATCACGTTTTCCCACATTGTGTTGTTCGAACAGGACATTTCAGACAACTTCATTGCAGCCAGCAGTAACAGCACTATATAAATTTACCTCCTGCCAGAGTTAACTATCTGTGGGTCCCCTCTAGTGTAAATTGGCCAAGCAATGCTCTGCCTCAGAAATAAATTGGCATATGCTCCACTAAACTACTCTGATTGCCTATATAATTTGCATTTCTAAGCTTTGGATATGTAGTTTTCTATCTCTCAAGTAATTATGTAGTTACATAACCACACATACGTGTGGATATGAACATACCTACGGTTCATGATATCCAGTACCCTTACAAATCATGCTAAGTATCACATTCTTGCTATATTGGCTTCTTTCTATTTATTAGCATTTTCTTTTTCTCTTTTCTCCCTTCATTTACTGTTCCTAGATGGAGATTTCCAACCTGGTCTCTATAATGGCTGGCATCCATCAAGAAATGCAATTTGCCCATCTTCCTGGCAGTGTCAGGTTGAGGAAAGCTCCTTGTAATTGCCTCCCTCATCGTTTAAAAAAAATCTGAGAAGCAATCACATCAGTGACTGACCTTGATGCCTGCAAAAGGGTTACAAATGGGGGGATGGGGAAGATACATTTTCTGTAAATACTATCAAGGATATTTTTCAATCTTCATGAGAATGGAAGCAGCCATTAAATATTTCTTTGTGCCAAATGCTTTGAAAGTTCCTTGCTAAATGAAGCCCCAAGCAAATCTGATTTTACCTAACCCTTTCTTTTGTGGAGAGAATAGCTCTGTGATTGGAATTTGTGGCAAAATTAAATGATTAAATATGCTTAGTGATCTGTAAGGAAGGTCTAGACACTATCCACATTTGGTGCTTTAGAAGTAAATTTTCCTTGGGCTAGGGTCCTGGATGAGAGGATTTCTCAGTGTTCTTGATTCTATAATTCCTTAATTATTCAGTAATACCTACAACAAAAGCTATTAAAACTCAAATGCAAATACAGCAAAAGTACTTCAAAAGAGCCAACATTTTCCTGTTACAGACATCCTATGTCTCAGTGGAAGGTTTCATAGGCTGCTATGGCTAGAAAAATTGCTCCCTCTGTGGCCAACTCTGTAATAATGAAATTGTTTGAATTTGGTTCTGCTGGTCATCAGATGAGAAACATGGAATCTATCGTGGGGCCTGGAGTCCAAACATTTCCTATCCTAGGACTGCAAAGCTTCTACTGTACTGGTATAATCTTATTAGCGTGGGTTACCTCCACACTGTGATGAGATACTCAAGTAAGACTTCAGAGGAAAAGTCAATGGGGAATAAGAACACAAAAAGTATACATAACCTTTCAGTAGGAAAGGTACTATGGATTTGGCAGCTTTTATTACTATTCTTTTACTATTACTGTTTACTATTTGCTATTTTACTATTACTATTTACTATTTTATTACTATTCTTTTCAACAGATTTCCTACTCAAGCTCCTAGGTAAAGAAAATAGCAATAATTTACATTTGTAGAGCACACTATGGATATAAAGCACTTTGCATACTTTGCTTCATTTGATCCTCACAATCACTCTGTAAGTCAGGCAATGAAAATATTATTATTCCCATTTTAGAGAAGAAGAAACTATAGGCAAAATGGCTTGCCCGAGGTCCTATAGCTTGGAAGTGGCTGAGAGCCTGGCCTCCCCCCCGGCTTGCAATGCCTGTTCCAGTGCTCTTCCCACTATACATACTAACTTGTATTTCATCACAAATACATATTAACTAATTATTTAACTTTTTTCCAATTTTTAAACATCAATTATGACTTATGAAGGCCTAGGAAAATTCATTTAAAAGTGCAATTTCTTTTTCTGTTTAACCAAAGGCAGTATTTTCAGCATCTGTACTGAGGTGGCAAAGATTTCAGTTCAGATGCAAATAATATTGTTTACATTCAAATAGGATGCTATTGATGCTCAGGTTCAAGTCCTAAAACTAGCATGTATCCTTAAGATTGAAACTAAAGACGGGGGCAACTAGGTGGTGCCGTGGATAGAGCACTGGCCGTGAAGTCAGGAGGACCTGAGTTCAAATCTGACCTCAGACCTAACACTGGACACTTACTAGCTGTGTGACCCTGGGCAAGTCACTTAACCCCAATTGCCTAAAAAACAAATTAAAGAAAAAATGGATATTTTCTTAATTGAAGTGAACTTCAGACCTTCTCAAAGTTTTAGAAACAGTGCAGCTCAAAAGAAAAAAACCCATTTTTAATTGCTTTAAAGACATCTTACACAGAAAAATGGCAAGATTGTCCATAAGAAAGGGATTTCATTGATTCTAATCAAGCACAGATGATTATGTTTATCTCATCAGTTATAAAATTAGGAAATAAAGTCTCCAAATGACACAAAACTTAATAATGAACAATTTACAAGAAGCAGAAAATAAATTCCATTTAAGTTACTACTTTTACTTAGCTATCTGTAAAAATTGGCAGAACCAAAATGGATCCATTTTTTTCAGATTCAGCATTCATCTATCTTTCCTACTTACTTAACTTCAGAGTAAATGAAGTCTAAAAATCAATTCACCATACAGACCCTATCAAAGATTGATCAATAAATGGCGGTCAATGAAAGACCATTGGCCTGGGTATCAGGAGACCTGGGCTCAAGTTTATGTGACTCTAAGCAAGTCACTTCCTCTCTTCTAACCTCCATTTCCTCATCTAGATATCTAATATCCCTCCCAGCTCTCAAATTCTATAAGAAAGAAAACAGACAAGTAAGTCTATCAATTTGGTTAGTCATACTCTTTTTTAGTGATGGTTATTCACATAAGTCATTATAAGACATTCTCCTTTGTTTCATCAGAAATATCAGCTAGCTTGCTGTATGAGTGAGGTAGCTCAAAGTAGATTGTGCTAAGAAACTGATTCCTTAAATCCTGGGAATAACTTTACACCAGTTAATATTTTAAAGCATACAATCTAATGTTTAAACAGAGACTTTAAATGGTTTCATCATAAAAAGTTATCCCTGGTCCTCAGTTTCCTCATCTGTAAGATGAAGGGGCTGTACTACATGGTCTCTGATGTCCCTTGAACTCTAAATCTGTGATCTTGTGATATATTATTTTTTCTATCATGGAAAAAAATAGTTATTTGTTTTTGAGAGAAGAGGACATAAACTGGTTAATATCTGTTGCAAATAAATTGGACCTAGATGAGAAACAAAAATATAGAGAGAATAGTTTGGTCTCCTAAGTATAATTTTTTTTTTTATCCAGTGGAGTCTCTCCTAACTTTTTCCAACCAGAAAGTACTTTTCCCCTGGAATTGACCTCTTCCTCTCCCTCCCCATATTAATTCATCAGAATGACTAAACATTCCTATTTTATACTGTCATAAACAAATAAAATAATGCCTCACACGATCTATACTTCAGGCCCTAAAGGCCTGACCTTCTAATAAATCTAGCTTTAAAAGCAACCTAATACATGTTCAGACTCACTAATATTTTTACATTACACTAGAGAAAGATGTTCACTTTTCTGGTACAAATTTGGTAACTGAAGCAAATTGAGGAGAATATGGTTTCTATTCTTCTGGTTGAGAGTATAGTTTCTCTCCTATTGAAAGTCAATAATAGCTTTCGACATTCTTTGACATCAAGTTCAAACTCCTTTCGGATATTGTAGGTCTTCAATATAATCTGGTTCTGTCTTACCAGTTCAACCTTTCTCCCTACTACTCTCCAAACACATGCCCACACCCTCAGACTGCTCTATTCACTGACCTCTGCTCTCAATTCAACAAACATTTGAAGTGCCTACTATGCCCAAGGCACTGAGCTAGACACTGGGAATATACAGGTAGTTCCCAGTCTTTGAAAATTTAAATTCAATGGGAGTAAATTCCACTTTGCTCATTATTATTTTCACAACTTTACTCATACTTTTGTACCTTTCTGGTTTTAATTTCCCACCTCACCCCATCCTAGACACACATTTTTGTTGTTATTCAATCATTTTTCTGTTGTGCCCAACTCTTCGTGACCCTATTTGGGGTTTTCTTGGCAAAGATACTGAAGGGGTTTGCCATTTCCTACTCTAGCACATTTTACAAATGAGGAAAATGAGGCAGAGTTAAGAGACTTGGCCAACACATGTGGTTTTCTTCACATATCCAAATACATCTCATGCTTCAAATCCATTCCCTCTCTGAAGGCTCTTCAATGTAGATTAGCCACCATTCATCTCTTTCCTCAGACTACCAATAATACTTGTTGTCTGTATCTCATATTTTGGCAGCATTTTATCACATAATCTTATGTTTGAGGTGTATCTTGTATCCTTCAAAAGACTGCAGCCTGAGACCAGGGACCATGTCATGCATTTCTCTCCTATTTCTTTATAGCATGTAGCACAGTGCTACACCCACCATAGGCACTCAATGAATGACTTTGGAATTAAAGTGAAAACTTTAGTCACAGTCACCTTTTATAATGTAGCCAATACACTCAATTGCTAGTCTGCAGCCAAATTGTTAAAATAAAACAGAATAAAAGAGAATATAAGTACCAAAATAAATTCTTTATAGTTATGTAATATATTATTCCTCCTACTCAGTTACACTAAAAATTATAGTAACACTAACTATAATAAATGACATTTACATAGTACTATGTAGTTTGCAAAGTACTTTACATGCATTATCTCATTTGGGTCCCTTAGCACTCCAGGTAGGTTGGTACTATAGGTATTATTATTTGCATTTTCCAGATGGAGAAATTGAGGCTTTGAGAGATTAAGTGACTTGCCCCTAGGTCACACAGAATATATCAGAGGTAAAATTTGAACTCAGGTCTTCCAGACCCCAAGATCCAGCTTCTAAGCATACCATTTTTCTAGAAGGAAATCAGCAAATAACCTGGAAAACAGCATTAGAATGTAAAATTCAGAATAAAGCTCAAGTATCCTTTGTAGACTTTTAGCAAGTCACTTAACTCAGCCTTGGATTTCTCATCCATAAAAAAAGGGACTTGGATTAAATGATAGCTAAGGGCCTTACCAACTCTAAAATCCTGTGACCTTTGATCCTGTGGCCTTTTATTACAGTACGCTGAAATATGCTTGTACCTTCAAGTAACTAAAAGATAAAATCATCCCTTAACCACATCTGCCATTAAAAGCCATTTTATTTCAAACTGAATCTGTTTTTAGAGCAAAAGTAGAGCTCTATCTCTAATCTGAATAAATTTCTTGCATGGTGAAATCTACTTGGCAGCATTACTAGTATCTGACAATTATTGAACAGTATTTTTTCTATAACCTACTTAGCTGTGTCAGCTCCGCTGGTTATTAAGGTGTTAATCAAAAGCTCATGACCATATCTTGCAGCCACATGGAGAGGGGTATTGCCATCCTTATCCACACAATCAATTTCGCCTCCTGAAAGAGAAATTTTAATATAGCATAATGCAAGGATTTAGGGTGATTCTAGGGCTGGATGATATGTTATTTAAATTCACAAAATACCCCTTTTTTCCAACCTAGTGTGCACCTTCAATCTTTAAGGTAAGGTATCACATTTTATCAAAAGGCAACAACATATTTTTTATGGGTACATCATTAAGTAAAGGTATAATATTAATGATGAAAAGCATAGACATGTATGTATACATTTATGTAGAGAGAGAGGAAGGGAGGGAGAGAGAAAAAGAGAGAAAGAGAGAGAGAGAGAGAGAGAGAGAGAGAATCTGTAAAATGTAAAACTACATTTTACAATATATGTCTAATCCAAAGAGACTCTGTTAAAAGTTCCCGAGGCAAGTCTCACATTTGCACAACTGTATTTCTGCCCTAAACTAAGAATGTAACCAAATTTAATAAAAATGAAATGTTGAGGCACATTTTGTCTCAATATTTACCTGCTGATGCAAAAGACTATAGAAATAGAATTATGCTTAAATATAATGAAATGATCTAAACTATTAAAAAGGAAAATGAAAGTATTTAAGATACAGTCTCCAATGAGGTCCTTTCCAATTCTGAAATTCTATGGGTCTGTAAGAAATCCGCAAAAGCACGCATGGGAAAACTGAAATTGAAATTAATAAAAATTTCATTTTAATCATCCATCAGTGCTTTTAGTAGCATTCTTAAGTGATATAACAGGTATACAACGACAGTCATGAAAATAGTCCCTGCCATCAAAGAGTTTAAAGTCTAAGAAAGAGAAAATAGAGAAAGAGAAAGCAAATAAAGAGAGAAGAGAGGAAAAGGTACATTCATTTAATAAATATTTATTGTATGAACATTGTGCATAAGAACAGAGAGAATTGCCTGGTGAAATCTGTGGTGAAAGCTGAGCAAAAGTTTGCAGGATGAGGAAGAGTGAAGTCAAAGGGAAAGGAGAGAACAGTCAAGGAAAAAAAGTACCAATATTCAAGTTTATAATGTTTGTCTAGATGTAAATTGATTTATACTTTTAAATGTTATTGAGTATTGAACCATACCAAGGGAGCACCCAGAATATTTTGATTATCCACAAAAGGTGGTCCAGACTCTTGATGCTCCAGTTTCCCAACCATTTTCCTTAGGGAACAAATGACCCAGGGCACCAGTGAACACAACAGATTAGCTGTCAAATCTTGCTTGACAAGTCAGTTAACTTTGGGCAAGATAGGTGAGCAAAACAGCCACAAACATATATTTCTGAGACTTCATTCAGGAAGCTCAGGGTTCAGAAAATGGTCAACAAAACTCTGCCAAAGCTTAATCCCATTTACTCATCCTTTTATTCAACACAACAGCTAAGCTGGCCCTGTTTCAAGCTATCATTTTCATCTGTATACTTTGAGAAGTAAAAGGCCCTTTGGTGAATATGAATTTATGATTATAATCAGAGTTCATGGAAGACATGGAAGAAAGTCAAGTCAATATCTAATATCAAAGACTATATTGGAGAACATCACATTTTAAAGAACAAAAATATTCACGTAATGACTCCCAGCAGCTGAGTGATATATGTTTATGTCTTACAGGAAGAGGTAACATAAAAGCTTTTCACTCTTCCCTGATGGACTCCTGAGTATCACAGCTGCTTCTCTACTCTTATCAAGCCACTCACTCAACTACTTCCTCTCCTCCTTTTCAGCAGAGGCCCTCACCTCATTTTTTCACTGAAAAAAACTGAGGCAGTCTCTAGCAAGCTCTCACTCCTTCATCAACAGTGTGCTGTTGTTACCACCACCACCATCACTACCATGACTGCTGCTGCTACTACATCACTCCTCCTCCTCCTCCTCCTCCTCCTCCTCCTCTATACTACTACTACCACTGCTACTGCTGCTGCTGCTGCTAGCTAGCTGGTATTTACATAGCACTTTAAAGTTTGCAAAGTGCTTTATAAATATTATCTTATCCTCTTAAAAACCCTGGGAAGTAGCTGCTATTATTATTCCCACTTTATGGCTGAAGAAACTGAGGCAGGCAGAGGTTAAGTGCCTTGCCCATGATCAAACAACAAGTAGGTGTATGAGACTGCATTTGGATTCAGGTTTTCCCGACTTCAGATCACTGTGCAACATAGCTACACTTACTATCTGCCAGACATTTTGTTAAGTTTTAGATATACACAAAGAAATGCAAAAATACAAAAATAGTGTCCATGAGGAGCTTATGTTCTAATGGGGAAGATAATAGGTATAAAAATAGACATTTACAAAATACACAAGGAAGACAAAAGGTAACTTTAGAAGGGAAAGTTAAAGTGGCCGGGAGGGACTGGCAATGGCTTCCTGTAGGAGGTGAAATTTAAGCTGAATCTTGAAGGAAGCCAGGCCGGTGGATAGGAGGAGGAAGAACTCATAACAGGAGGCATGGGGCACAGTGAAACACAAAGGTTTGGAGACCGGAAATGGAGAGCCCAGAACAAGAAATAGCAAATAGCTCTATATTGTTGGGTTATAAAGTGAACTGAAGAGAGTAACATTTGGGAAGACTAGAAAGGCCGGTAGGGAGCGGATTGCGAAGAGTGTTAAATGCCAAACGAAAAAATTTATAACTGATCCTGGATGTAATAGGGTACCATTGATGTTTATTAAGGGGGGGTGGGGATGGGGTGACCTGGTCAGATTTACCCTTCTGAAAAATCACTTTGGGAACTGTGTGGAGTATTTGTTAGAGTGGGGAGAGACTTGAGGCAAAAAAGTCAATTAGAAAGAAGGCTATTTCAATAGTCCAGGTAAAAGGCAAGGAGGATCTGAACTTGATTGATAGCTGTGTGAGCAGGAGAAAAGGGGCTAGCCAGCAGTGCACTGGTAAATGTTTGGCAACCAGCTCTCCAGGTGAAAAAACATACACATCTGCCTCTTTTACTGCTGCACTGTTATTATCATTTCAGAAATATAACAAGGTTGCATAGGCTTGGCAGCTATTTTTTATTTCTCTTTATTTTACAAGTTGTAGCCAAAGAATTCATTGCCTAGTGTCTGTCTACTGGAGATAGGCCTCTTTGTACTCAATGAGGCTGGCACTTGGACGGCAGACACAGTCTGTTGTCAGGAATTTAAGTGAACTTGGCCTAGCACAGAAGAACCTGCCAGCACTTGGGGTCTGCTGAGACAGCCTTCAAGAGCCTATGGTCAGCTCTATACCACAATGAAGCATTTGAGGAAGACTTGAGAAGGATGTCTGTTACTGTATAATTGTGAAATCTGTTCGTTTGCTGCCAGCCAAAAAACATGCCACATTTAAGGTATGGAAAGGACTATTTGAAAAACTATTTTAGTTAAAAAATTTTGAACTATTTTAGTTTGTATATATCCTTTCTAATTCCTATGTATGATATAAAATTACAAATGGCTGGAACACCACATATTTTTATTTTCCCATAAATCTTTATTTTTATATGTTGTAAATATAATTTTTTTTCTGCTCTTCCAAAGACTTAGAAGCAGACTTAGAATTCTTAGATTGAATTTAGAAGTAGCTGCTTTTATGTATCCTAAAGGGCAGCTCTAGAAATAGGCCTTCACCTACCAATCATGGGTACCATAGAACCATATCTGGGTAAATGGGGATGGGTTAACCCAATCAATAAAGTCCAGGGATCTTTTTAACTGGTAACAGGACAGTTGTAGGACCACACTTAGCCAAAGGATTACCTAGCTTTAAAACAAGACAATGCTAAAATTCTTTAAATAATTAGTAAAGAGTTTAATTTTAAAGAGTTTAAAAAAAAAACACAGAAAGTGATAGAGCTCTATTTCGCTGGTTGCCAGATTCTAAGACTTACAAAGGAAGACAGGAACCCTTATCCCAGCCTTATGAACAACTACTCCTCATCCCTCCCTTTCCCCACACAATGCACGTGCACACATCTCTTTGTGCTCAGTCAAGTTCCGTAAGGCCACGCTACAGAGACTTCAGGGCTCAATTGTTAATACACTTTCAGATAACTGTAAGGGTGTGTAGGAAAGTAAAACTGAATATTTCTGAGGGTGGATTGCTAAGGAAAAAAAAGGCAAAAATTTTTAATGCTACTATAATTACTAATGTTTTCAAGGCCACTTTGAAACTTGGAAAAATTTAAATTAATTTTCTCTTTCACAGATGCTTATTTCTCCTTCTGAAGCTAAGTGATGAAAAATTAGGGCAAATATTAAAAAAAACCTTTTTATGATTAAAAGTAAGGAATATGTTTCATACTATGAAACATTTTATAAATTAAAATTCTGTTTGTTTAAAAAATCCTTGGAACATTCAATTGCAAACCTTTGAAACCTGATTGAAATGCAAATTAATATATTTAATCTTCACTGGAAGAGAAAGTTAAATGCTTAATAATTGGTTGAATAAAAACAAATACTGGATTTTTTCAATATGCATAGCATGTAAACTACAGAGTGTCATAGTCCATGTAATAGCAGGAAAAATAATTTATGTAACATTATCTAAATTATTCATCTAAAATTAGAGTTTTATTGAACAAACAAGAGGGGTCATCTTAATTACTTGCCTCACAGGCATTCCACACCAAAAGGTCAAACAAAGTCAGAATGAGTAATTCCAACATCAGCTCTCCAATCTTCCTTCCAAAGCCTAATTTATTTTTAAACCCTCTGTGAAAAAAACATTTCATGAACTTTTGTAACCTGTTAGGCATAGTTTTAAGAATCTAGAAGCCAAAACTTCTAAATAAAATAAAGCCTCAGATTTTCTTAGATTTCTTTGTCCCAACTTGGTTTCTGCATCAAATAAGATAGTATTGGGCTCTGACAAAAGAGCATGGGATAGCATCATATGTAATTAAATATTGAGTTCAATGTTTCCATCGATGACTGGAAAAAATAAGAGGTGTTTTTATCATTTCACTTTCCAATTAATCAACCCACAAGCATTTATTAAATGATTACTACTTTCTAAAGCCAGCTAGGTGGCGCAGT